TCAGCCTCGGTGATAGACTGACTCAAAAAAAAAAAATGTTTTGTATTAAGACATATTTAGACAAGACAGTAACAGAAATACACAGTGTCAGAACCTCAAAAGAATTAATTCCTTTTTTTTTTTAAATTTTGGGTGTCTCAAAAGTAAACTGTTTTCTGAAACTTTTGCCGAAGTTTCTACAAATCCTAAAGTGAATAAAAGTGCTAGAGTTCAGGTATGCCTAGGTTCAAATCTCAGTTCTATCCATTAGTTGTGTTAATCTTAAATAAGTTACAATATCTCTCTTTACTTCCGTTTCCTCATCTGTAAAATGAGATTAATTGCAATACTTTACTATAAAGGGTTGATAAAAGGATTAAATGAGTTAGTGAACTCATGTACAACATTTATGATGGTGTCTAAAAAAGAGTAATCAAATACTACATTACCAGTATAGTGATTGATCAAGAAATACCACAATAAATAACCACTTTCTTTGAATTTACTAATGCCTACTCAAACTACATTTCAACAATATGATCAAGAATAAGCAAAAATGTTAAAGTAATCTCCAGAGGAGAAGTTTATAACAATTTTTACCATAACAATCTAAGTATGTAAAATGCAAACAAAAAATTTTTTAAAAAACAACCATCACTGCTAAGTATTGAGTAAGTTTAAATAGTAAGTTTAAATTAAACAGTTTCAAATCATTCTTCTCTGGTGGTCACTGAAATCTAATGTAAAAAAATGTGCAAAATGTGACATTATTGGAATGCATAAGAATGTATTAAATATCTTATCTCCTTGCCATTGTTAACCTAGGACCACCTTGTACATATGAGAGTGAAGTTAGCTATAAGCTACCAATTCCATAACATTGTTATTGTCTAAAAGTTGAGATATTGTCAAACTAAACACATACTGCCACCTTGTGGACGGATGGGGATGATATTAACCCCAAATAAGCAAAAGAAGAAAAAGATGCTTCTGGTTCAGCTTTTTCTCAATGAGATAACCACTGCAACTAGTGACAAACACTAAATATAGTTCATACAATTTTACAGTAAGGATAACTATTTCTTCTACAATGTAATAAAATAATGCACCAAACTCAACATTATTCTCTCACGAATTTCTTTATCTCTTCTTGAAATTAATTAATTTTTTTGAGATGAATTAAAAGACTTAACAATGAGTTTATTATCAATGATATGTTTGAATATGAAAAATTAAGAAAAGCCGAAAATCACCAGAGCTGTCCAAGTTTCAAAGCACCATCATTTTGGTGAATATAACATTCTTTCTTGCTAGTCTTCATCTGTCCTGTCTAACTTTAAAAATTGAGAATTTTTCTCTCAAAAATGTGAATCTGATGTGAGAGAAAAAAAATGTTAGCATGCACAATGATTCAATTAAAAATACTTTTTAAATTTTTTATTTCATTAAAATATTTTAATGTAACAAACTGCATTTTTAATAAGCGTTATTCCCAAACTATTATCTAATTTTGGTCCTTCTGAGACAGTAAATATCTGCTTCAAAATGCACAATACTTTGATATCAATGTTGGTATTATCAAGATTTATAAACATATTTTTAAAATCCAGAATTAAATTGAGTTTTAAAAAAGAAAAAGGAACGCCCATACACACCCCAAAATCAAGCTAAAAAGGCTTTCAGAAATGGTGGGGGGATAAAAGATTCTTACTCTTTTTTGAACAAGATTGATAACCAATACCATATCTAAGCAGTGATGCTGCTTATGTAATATAATGTTCAGAAGGAAGTTTTCATTTTTATTTTTTTTAATGGAGAAAATATAATCAGGGTAAATTCACAACAGTCAGGGCCATTAATGAACACTACAAAAGAGCTGTAATATAAATTACATTTTAGCTTGGGAATAGACAATCACATAATTATAGACAAGTGCATACATATCAGGTCAATATTGTAAATATAGTTTGATAGCTATTTTTGCCATTTCACATTCAAATTATATTTCTGAAACCTTTAAAAACATATTACATGTTCTTAACAGTAGTTAAGAATTTAAATACTAAGCTCCAAGCTAAATGATTTAATAAACTGTTCCTATATTTCTAATCTATAATGGCAATAAAATAATTGTGAGCTCTCCTGAATCCAAGCATCACGTCTGACCTGTTCATGGTTATACATTTAGCCTAGCCCATACTAGGTTGCCAATGAATTGTTAAATGAGTTATGTTTCAAATTTTACTCATTCAAGTGCATAAGAACTTGTCAACATATAGAAAAATAAATGAACATATGATTTTTGTTTTATTCATTACTGAGCTAAATAACTGCTAGAATACAATAAAAAGTTTCCTGCAATAGACTACTTAGCTAATGGCTTAAATGTTAAGATCAATCTTCATATACATAAAATAAACGAAAAGCATGCCAAATTTTAGTAATATCTGACAAATTAAAACCTGCCAAATTCCTGATCTTTTAATGGTTTATTCATTCTAAGAAATTTAAACATGAACCAGCAGATTTTTTTTTTTTTTTGAGTTGGAGTCTCACCCTGTCATCCAGACTGGAGTGCAGTGGCATGCTCCCGGCCACTGCAGCCTCGACCTGCTGGGCTCCAGCGATCCCTCCGCCTCAGCCTTCCAAGTAGCTGGAACTACAGGCACGCACTACCATACCCGGCTAATTTTTGATTTATTGTGGAGATGAAGTCTCGCCAAGTTGCCCAGGTGGGTCTCGAACCCACAGGCTCAGGCAATTCACTCACCTCAGCCTCCCAAAGCAGATTTTTTTTTTTTTTTGAGTCAGTGTCTCACACTGTTGCCCAGGCTGAAGTGCAGTGTCACACTCACAGCCACAGTAGCCACGACATGCTGGGATCAGGTGATCCTTCTGCCTCAGCCTTCCAAGTAGCTGGAGCTACAGACACGCGCCACCACGCCCGGCTAATTTTTTTATTTATTGTAGAGATGAGGTCTCACCAAGTTGCCCAGACTGGTCTCAAAACCATGGACTTAGGCAATCCTTTTGCCTCGGTCTCCCAAAATACTGGGATTACAGGTGTGAGGCACTGCACCTGGCTGAACTAGTAATTTGATGATACCAAGGAATTACTGTTGTCTTAGATGTGATAAAGTCCTGTGGTTTTACAATGTCCATTTTAAGAGATGGAGTTTCTTTTTGAGTTAGAGTCTCACTCTAGAGTCACCCAGGCTGGAGTGCAGTGGCACACGCAAGGCCACTCCAGCGTTGACCTGCTGGGCTCCAGCTATCCCTCTGCCTCAGTCTTCTAAGTAGCTGGAACTACAGGCATGTGCTACCATGCCTGGCTAATTTTTTGATTTTTTAGTGTAGAAATGAGGTTTCGTCAGGTTGCTGGTCTCAAACCCTCTTGGGCTGGTCTTGAACATGCGAGCTCAGGCAATCCACTCGCCTTGGCCTCCCAAAGTGCTGGGATTATAAGCTAAGCCACCAAGCTCGGCCAAGACTGAGATAACTAAGTAGGAGTCAAATGGCATAGTTTCTGGGATTTGATTTAAAATACTTCAGAGAAAAAAATAGAATAAATGAAGCAAGTATAGTAAATTCTTAATCAGTGCTGAATCTAAGTGATAGCTATGTAAGGAATCATTATCCCATTCTATTTTTGTGTTTTGTGTACATTAGATATTTTCACCAAAATTTTAAAAGGATAATCATCAAGATGATGGGAGAAATAAAAATAATATAAATCAAGCTGGACACAGCAGTGTATGCCTGTAAACCCAGCTACTTGGAAGGTTGAGGAAGGAGGACTGCACAAGCCCAGGAGTTCAAAGCCAGCCTGGGCAACATAGAGAAACACTGTCTCTTAAAAAAAAAAAAATAGATAAAATGTGTTTGTGTATGTCAATAAACTGTAAAGACAACTGGAAAATTCCAATATCTGAAAAGTAGTAGCACACATCTCAGTGATCCATGAGTCAAAAAAGAAGCAAAATGGAAATAAAAAGTATTTTGATATATATTTCAAAACATGCTCTATGGAATTTTATCTATCAACTTAAAAAAAGCCAAAATACAAATTTTAAATAAAAAGAATAGTTTAAAAAGTATTTTGAACAGAATGCAAATGGAAAAATAACATGCCAATATTTCTGCAATGTAGCAAATGCAATACTTAGAGGGAGATTTATAGCACAAAATATCTGTATTCAAAAAGGTGTCAACTAAGTGACTTCAGTTTTTATCTTCAGAAATTAGCAAATAAGAGCAAGTTAAACCTCCCCAAAAGTAGAAGAATGGAAGTAGTAAGGAGCAAGAATCAATGGAACAGAAAAACTTAGAATAACAATAAAACCAAGAGCTGGCTCTTTGGGAAAATCAATAAAGCTGATAAAATTCTAAGTTAGATTTCTCAGGAAAAAGGCAAAGAGAAACAAAATCCAAATTCAGGGATGAAAGAAGGAATATCATCATAGAATTTAAAGATATTAAACGAATAAGGCAATAATTATAACCAACTACATGCCAAAAAGTTCATCAACCCAGATGACATAGACAAATTTCCTAAAAAAATGCAAACTAATAGTAATGCTAAATCAAGAAGTAATACATAACCTGAATAACCCTAAAACTCTTAAGGAAATTCAATTTGTAGTTAAAAATCTTTTCCTGGAAGCTTCAATGGAAAATTCTATAAAACTATTTAAAGAAGAAATAATACCAATTCTATACAAACTTTTTCAGAAAACTGAAGAAGTAGAAACACTTATGAGGACAGCACACCCGCCATCAAAATCAGACATAGATACAGAAAACAAACTACAACTCTATGAGATAGCTACTATTAATCATTCAATTTTAAAGATGAAGATATTAAACATACAGAAATTCGGAAACTTGCCTAAGACCACAGAACTAGTAACTGGCAGGCAACCTAATTTCAGAGGCTTTTAACAATAATGCTATAACTGCTTCTCAAATTTAATTAGATTCTAGTCTTATAAAAGAAAATAGTAAGTGTGTCAAATACTTACCTAGAAACTATGCTGGAACCGTTATAGAGATCACTAGCATATGACAATGTGGCTAAAGGTCGTACTGAATTATATCGAGTAAACTTGGACAAGCATTCCTGAAATTCATCCAACTGACTTGCAGTTCGACTGTCATCTATATGAAGAAAACAAAATAAAATAGATGAACTGAACTACAAAGTAAGTCAAAGAGCAATATCAACAAATTAAAAATTATTTTATTCTAAAAATTTTGTATTCTAAATATGAAAAAGTTTTAATTTTAATTAATTTTAATTCAGCTTTAATTAAAAATGCTTTAGAGGTTCTTTCAAAGATACTGTCTCTACTGTGAATCCTCATTACTATTTTTTAGCAATAATTTATTGGGAAAAAATATAACAACTACTGGTAGAGAGAAAAGTTATAAAAGTCCCTTATCAAAGGAGAAGGTGCAGATGGAAAGAGGAAATACATGGGGCACTTGTTAATATGAAGAAACATGTTTACAGGATACGTATTTATGCCCATGTTTGTTTATTGTCAAAATTAAGTTTACAACAATATATTTTAAATTTTTTTAAAAATTAATTTTCAAATAAAAAGATATTTGTTCATATAAGACTTTGAAGCATTTCGAATCCTATTATAGGAGAGGAGGAGAAAACTGCAATGTATGAACTATTAACTCTTCAAAAAACCTTTAAAAATGTTTGAAATGACTCTGATTTATCCCAAAAAGAATCTTCATCAAGAGAAGACAAAATATAATTCAAATATCTGAGGGTAGTATGAAAAACAGTAATTCCATCCAATAGAACACTATACAAACACCTGGGTAAAGTTCATTTCAGTAAACTATTCAAAGCTAAATCATGTGGTATTTAAGTCATAAAACCAGTTTATGAAGCACCTGAAAATACTGTGAATCTACTCTCCAATCTAGAAGCAGGCCTACAGTAAGTGTATAAAATTAAAAATTCGTCCAGGCATGGTGGCTCAGCCTGTAATCCCAACAGTTTGGGAAGTTGAGGCAAGAGGATTGCCTGAGCCCGGGGATTCGAGACCAGCCTGGGCAACTTGGTGAGAACTCGTCTCTATGATCAATCAAAAAATAAGCAAGGCATGTTAGAGCACTGTAGTTCCACCTACTTGGAAGGCTAAGGTGGATGGATTGCCTAAGCCCAGCAGGTCAAGGCTATGGTGGCTGTGAGTTTGCCACTGAACTCCAGCCTGGGTGACACAGTGAGACTCCAACACACGCAAAAATAAAATAAAATAAATTTTAAAATTCATTGTTTTCAAAACTGCTTAAAGTTTGGATTTATATTTTCCTTTCCAAAAAACAAAAAGAACAATGTGTACTTTTGTTTCCTAAACTGAAATTGAGGTAAGTCTGTTACAAGACTGTCCTCTCATAGTTTCTCCCTTATTCTAGGCTCAAACACATACACACACACAACTTTTTCAAGGTAAACATCCATGAGTTCCCTTGATAATGCTATCTAAAGTAACAGAAGGCCCAAAAAACTTAAGATTAAACAATTCTTAAGTCTAAAGAGTTATATGATCATATAATATATAGCAAAGAATATATCTTATCTGGAGATACCAGTCTATCTTGAAGACAATTATTTGCATGAAAAAGATTTATCTAACAATTTTTATAGAAAAAAACAAGTAATAATTACTTGAGGAAACACAGTACATTTTTGTCCCTGATATTTTACAAATTTTAGACACTTAAACACTAAGCAAATCTACCTAACAACTTAGAATGAAAGGGTCCAATTTAGCAGTGCTTCAATTCTAAACACAGCAAAAGAAATAACCTAATTAGCATGCAGTATAAAGATAGTATTGATGAGGTGAGTGGATTGCCTGAGCCCGTGGGTTTGAGACCCACGGGCAACTTGGCGAGACCTCATCTCTACAATAAATCAAAAAATAAGCTGGGTGTGGTTGCGCACGCCTGTAGTTCCAGCTACTTGGAAGGCTGAGGTGGAAGAATCGCCGGAGCCCAGCAGGTCGAGGCTGCGGTGGCCGGGAGCGGCCACTGCACTCCAGTCTGGGATACAGAGTGAGACTCCAACTCAAAAAAAAAAAAAGATAGTATTGAGATAAAGCTCCTACACTAAAAAAAATTAAGAAATTCAACAAGACAAAAATAAAACATGGATTATGGCAAGAAACAAAAAAAAATCAGCTATACAACAGGCTCATTTGAAAGAATGTGAATTCTTTCACATTTGACATAAAATCATTCTTTTTCTGTGTAATCCTATTACTCTGAGTTGTTTTAACATAATACATACTAATCGGAAAGAAAGTTGCTTTATTAATTTAAATACTTTGTGTTTTTTGGTTTTCAGACAGTATCTCATTCTGTCACCCAAACAGGAGTGCAGTGGCATGATCATAGCTCCTTGAAGCCTCAATCTCCTTGGCTCCTTGGAATCTTCCTGTCTCAGCCTGCTGAGTAGCTAGGACTACAGGTGCACATCACCATGACTGGTTAATTTTTTTTACAATTTTTTTTTTTTTTTTTTTGTAGAGATGGAGAACTCACTATGTTGCCCAGGATGGTCTCAAACTCTTGGCTTCAAGCAATCCTCCTGTCTTGGCTTCCCAGGGCTGGAGAACAATTTGATAGATCTTATTTGTGTGGGCATGGCTATAATGTTCGTTAATGTTATTCTTTCACATTGTTTTTTGAGTTGGAGTCTCACCCTGTCACCCAGGTTGGGGCGTAGTGGTACGCTCACAGCCACTGCAGCCTCGACCTACTAGGCTCAGGTGATCCTTCCACCTCAGCCTTCCAAGTAGCTGGAACTACAGGATGCACCACCAAGTCCGGCTAATTTTTTTATTTATTGTAGAGATGAGGTCTCACCAAGTTGCCCAGGCTGGTCTCAAACTCCTGGGCTAAGGCAATTCTCTCACCTCGGCCTTCCCAAATGCTGGGATTATAGGAGTGAGCCAGGGTGCCTGGCCTATTCTTTCACACTTGACATCAATTCCTAAGTACTTAAAATTCACAAGCATTCAAGAATATGTATTCTGTTGAAGGCCATAATCTTTTTCTAGGCTATGGACTTTTGCCTGTCATCAAGCTAATTAATATCTACTTTTAGCAGAAACTACAAGGAAAACAATAAAGTTAGTAATTTCATTATTTAAATGTTTAACAATTGGTTTTCACTTATCCTCATGTAAAGGTAAAATCATGTTTGCTTGGTGTTTTGTGATCAACACCTAGACATATCTGCTAATATCACCTCTCCTATTCTAATTACAAATTGGTTTGTAAAAAAGTGCGTTTAGCGTCTCTCTTCTTTCTCCTAATGCTTTATAATTTACTTCCTTGTTCAATTACAATTAAGGATACAAGTTTCTTAATATTCATCTTTCATTTTCATAGTTGAAAATAAAAGTTGGGGAATAAATTTGTGGATTCGCTTCTGGAAATATACAAAGGGCAATCAACTTCATAGGTACATAATTATGGAAAAGCTAAAATTTCCACTTTACAGACAAAGGTACTAGAAGAAACTTCAAATTCGGCGATCAGAATATTGTAGCCAATGTGCAAATGTGTTAAGATTGACTCGAGATGTTAAAAACCAGAGACCTGTTTCAAGTACAATATAGCCATGCCCACACAAATAAAATCTATCAAATTGTTCTCCTGGTTTAAATAGATTATCCTACTGTCCTATAAGTTATACCAGTGTGCCTATGCTGCTAAGTGACTTAAAAGATTAGTAACAACAGCCTACCCCAAACTCTTTCCCATCTCACCTTTTTTTAAAAAAGTATCTGCCTCTTGCCTATAGTACTTCAACATCATAACAAATCATATATGAAAGGGTTAATATGAACTCTGCCAATCAGTATGCAGGTCTCAGGTCACTTTCAATATAATAACTTCTTATTGTAGTTTATATTTATAGACTACTAAAGAGGCTCAATAAGAGGTTCAATTCCCAGGCAATACATAAAAGCCTCCCATCTATAAAAACGGTTTATCATTAATTTCTAACAGACTGACAAACAAATCTTGGATTCTCCCTTGATATTTCCTAGGGGAAATGCTATGTAAATCTAAGACTTTTTTCTTCTGCCACCAATCCTGAGGCATATTTGTCTGAAGGAGCTAAGTAATATATAGGTTACAATAACACATTTACTGAAGAGAAAACCAATGCCCAGTTTTTACCAACCTATAAAATATCACACATTTTTTCCTTGGTGTTCTTTATTTTAAGCAGATACATTATTAATGACATCAATTAACTGAGCACCCAGCATGTACCTAGCACTGTATTTTATACACACTACTTACAATCATGAAAAAAACAAAACAAATCCATCAGGGCTAGTATTAATATCCCTATTTTTCTGATGAGCAAAGATGTTGGGAAAGACTGAAGAACACTCAAGAGGTAAAAAAAAAAAAAAAAGAGCTAAACTACTACTCTACTGCGACAGAAATATCCTAGGCTATCATATCCATATCTCTGCATATGTCATTTCCTCTGCTTTGAATGTGTTTCCAATTATCTTTTTCAGTTAATTCATATTAGCCTAGCCCAAATGCAACTCCTCTGAAATTCCTATTCTAACCATCTCTTGTATCTCCCATTTTCAACTTGGCCTAGCTTTTTCACTCCCAGTTGTATGAGTGGATATTCTTCTCTACCTCATAGTATTCTTGCGTATTTATATAACATAATATCACATAGAATTGGTTACCTGTTGCTTTTCCCCACTAGATTTACAACACTACTTAACAATAAGAACCGATTTTTTCATCTTTTTATTCGTAGCACAGAGGACAGTGCTTTGAACTTAATGTTGAATAGGAAGAAACTGAATGGAAATTATGTTTGCTAGCTACATATGTATGGCTTTTAAAAAAAACTTTATATAGCTCTCTAAATAAAGATGAAAAAAAATCGTAAATAAAGAAAAGAACAAAAATAGCCGCTGGAAAGCAATATTCTTCAAGACCTGTAAGAACCTCCATGATGTTCTGATAGCCTACATCAAAAATATACATTTTTGTTTGCAACTAGGACTTTCCATAAATCCAAAACAAAAACCTAGAAATAGAACTGAAATATGAATTTGAGACAGTTTAAGAGAAGTCCTGAATATGTACCTGAGATACGAGACATCCTTGTAGAAAAGTAACATTGCTCTAAGTCTTCAAAATGAGCAGTGAGTCGTTTTCGTCTCGATGCTAATGTGCTGTTATACCAAGGTTGTTTTTTTGTCTAAGGTGATAAGAAAAGATATTTATAAGTGAGAATAAACAATACTCTTCTTTGTACAGAAATGTCTGTACATTTAGTTTCAAAAGTTCATCACAATAAAATTAAAAACGGTGAAAAACTAATTCTGAGATGCTATTTTCCAATGTTTTTTTTAACAAGAAAATAGGAACCAAACTCATTCACAGAATGACTAAAACTTAAAAATCGTTTTTAAAAACAATCACTAACAATAGTTTTATAAGACTAAAATGGGAAACATCTTCAATTTGACAAACTAAATAAAGAGAATCCATTATAGCATCCATTCTAAATTCAATATTCAGGAAATCTTGACTACACCCAGAAATTGTTAGAAAACAATTATCAAACAGAAACTAATCACTTTTTCATTATCCCTATATTATAGTCTTGTACCCTCTGAATTTTAGGAAAAGTTTTTGACTGCAGGGAATTAAGTTAATATTATTTAGATTAAAAGGCAGTAATATACATGTGCCAAGGAGTCTGACATATTCATTAGAATACAGAAGGTAGGTGATGAAATTTGTTAAGAGCACATGGGTAACTTGTATAGTACTTTTAATGTTCTAGAATTAACATACAAGTTGGTTCCATAAAGCTGTCTTTTATTATAATATCTATAATTTACATATTCATGAAATATATTCCTTTATATATACCAACCTATCTTTTTAATAAATTCTAAGATTTTATTCTATAGATATTTTTTAAAGTGATCTTTCAATGGAAAACAGAAAAGACTTCATAGTTTAAAAGATGAGAATGAATAACAAAAAACAAAAATCAGAAACAAGACATATAAAACAACACTGTTTTATCTGGCTTCCAGTTTTTATAACAAATTGATCTTCACAATTATTTTGCCAGTATGTATTTTTAGCTTTCCTTGAATTTATTTGAAACTCAGTGCTATTCCTTTTAAAGCCATCCAAAACTAGGTTGCTTCATAAATGTTGGTAAATATGCGATACTTGGCTCATTGTCTACACCAGTTTACTTATTAAACTCACAAATAGCATTAATATAAAAGACAGAAATGTGTTAAATGTACAGAGGTAAACTGATTGATTGACTGAGTCAAAAGCCTCACTCTGTCACCCAGGCTGAGGTGCAATAGCCAAGATCACAGCTTCTGTAACCTCAACCTACTGGGCTTAAGCAATCCTTCTGCCTCTGCCTTCCAAGTAGCTGAGATTACAAGTGCACGGCACAACACTTGGCTAATTTTTTTTACTTATTGTAGAGACAAGGTCTCACCATGTTGCCCAGGCTGGTCTCGAACTCCTGGGCTCAGGCTCCCAAAATTCTGGTTTTGCAGATGAGAACCATTGTGCCCAGTCAGAGAAAATTGCTTTGAAAATACAAATTGCTGTAGATAGTCTAAAAGGCCAATCATCAGACAGAACATAATCTTAGGACACGCTTTATAACCTATAGGTAGTTATAAATATGGCCACAAATCAAAACGATGTTCACAAGTCAAATGTTCATCAAGTGTGTTACTTTATCTAAATTGATTCTAATGAAAAATGGCCACATTTACCAAACTCAAAGATAATTAGATTTCACCACAGTAAAAACAGAAACACGTAAATACCTCATTTGGTCATTGGAAAAAATGAAAAATAAGAAAGTCCTTAAATAAATGCCAGACAGTATAGGCATGCTATGGAAACGATAGAGCAAATTCAACAGTTATACAAAAAGATTATTTAGTGTCAGCCTGTAAATTATGAAAAATCTATATAAATTTAACAACACTAATTCCAATGAAATTAAAGTGAAAATAGAAAAAAAAGCATTCAAAACCGAATATTCTGTTTCATATACAATATAAAGCAGTGGTCAAGAGCACAAAAGTAATGAGATCTTCAAAAGATGAATGAAATCAGTATTTGTAAAATGAAAGAAATAACTTACTATAGCAAAATTCTGTCAATTTGACTAAGAAGAGACTCCTACTCTAAATGAAGCTAAAGTATATTTAACTGAAACTTAAAAATTTTCCAACAGATAAATAACCCTTACTCAAACAAATTTCACAAATTAGCACAGAATGAAAAACTATCATTATTTACATATTAAGTAATATTTCTAAGTTCAAGGACCATGCATAAAATAAACAAATTAACTATTAAACACATACATACATTTTCATTCAAACAGATTTAAAGACCGACTTTAAAGGAGAAAGCTACATAATTTAGAACAGTGATTATCACAGTGTGATCCCCAAGGTGTAGATGTAGATCCCAGGGATTCTCTAAGAGCTTTTCAGGAAATCTGTGACATCAAAACTAAGTTCATAAAAACAGTAGGATGCTGTTTGCAAGACTAAAATAAAAGACTTAAGAGCACATGGGTAACTTGTATAGTACTTTTAATGTTCTAGAATTAACATACAAGTTGGTTCCATGCTTATGGTTGTACTTGTGATGCAAAAACAAAGGTCAGCATAAAACTGCTCACCTCTTAGCACAAAACAAGGCAATGGCAACAAATACCACTGGCAGACACCTTTTTTTTTTGAGTTGGAGTCTCACTCTGTCGCCCAGGCTGGAGTGCAGTGGCACACTCATGGCCACCGCAGCTTCAACCTGCTGGGCTCAAGTGATCCTTCCACCTGAGTCTTCCAAATAGCTGGAACTACAGGCGTGTGTCACTATGCCCAACTCATTTTTTAAAAAAAATTTATTATAGAGACAAGGTCTTGCCATGTTGCTCAGGCTGGTCTCGAATCCGTGGGCTCAGGCAATCCTCTTGCCTCAGTCTCCCAAAGTGTTGGGATTACAGGCATGAGCTACCTTGCATGAGCTACAGTGCCTGTCTTGACACTGTTTTTCACCACTATTCATAATAAAAAAATTAAAAACATACATACACACATTCTATAAAACTCAGTTTCATGCAAGGATGCCCTTAATAAGGCCATACAAATTAACTGTATTAAATCTGGACCCTTGTATGTATACTTTTTTCCTATTCTGTGATGAAATGGGAAGCATGGATTATATGTTATCTGTATATCCAAGTACAGTACAATGGTGATCTGAAACAAAAGTATTTATATGACTGCCTAATTTGTGGGCTGAGTTAAATGTTATCCTCAGAGGACACCACAGGAATATATGAATCTTCAGGGGAGAATAAGTAGGAGGGGAAATGAAAAATATATGGGTAAATACGAAGGCAATATTTTCCTGTCAATTTCTTTAAAACGTGCATGATGAACTAAAACAAATATGGTATCTTCAAGAAGTATTAATTTGTGCACATGACAAATTATGTTACAATTCATGACAATCATTACATAAAAATTGCAAGAAGTGGGAAGATAAGTGCACCTAATAAACTGCAAGGATTCTATAGATTTATTTTTGAGGCGGGGTCTCACTCTGTCACCCAGGCTAGAGTGCAGTGACATGATCACAGTTCACTGCAGCCTCAACTTCCTGAGCTCAAGCTATCCTTTTATCTTAGCATCCCAAGTAGCTAAGACTACAGGTGTGTGCCACCATGCCTAGCTAATTTTTTTATTCTTTTGCAGAAACGAGGGCTCAAACTCCTAGGCTCAAGCAATCCTCTCTCCTCAGTGCTGGCATTATAGGTATGAGTTGTCATTGAGCCTGGCCCAAATTCTATATTCTAGATGAAATGGTATAAAATCAACCCCCAAGAGGGTTGTGACAAGTTAAAGAAATAAATCGTAATCAATAGAACAGTTGATGTAAAGAGAGAGGTATGGCTAAAAAGCTAATAAGTAGCGAATATAATTATATTAATAATTACACTAAATGTTCATGGACAAATACTGCTAATAAAAGTAGAGAATATCAGAATGGTTAAAAAAAATTTTTAAAAGACCTACACATAAGACATGCTAAATACATTGCATGCTCAGTCAGTAAGCATAATACAGATATTCCGAGGTATGGAGGAGGGTAATTTGCAGATCTGCCATGGCCTTTCTGGGCACAAGTGTCCCTCCTCCCAACACCTCAGTGTGTTCACCAACCTGAAGCTGGTTTAAACATAAACCATTATTAAAATAAAAGTTAAAGGATGAAAGAAAATACCAGGCAAATAATTTAAATAAGAAGGCCAGAGTGACCCTACATTAATATCGGGGAAAATAGGCCTTAAGACAAGGAATACTACCAAAGATTAAGAAGGTAATTTCATAAAAGTGTCTCTTATCAGTAACACCTAACAATTATAAATGTATATAATGTATATAAATGTATATAACAGTTTCAAAATGCATGAAACAGAAGTTGACAGAATGAAATAAAAATACACTTAAACCATAGTAGGAGATTTTAATATCCTTCTCTCAGAAATTAATAGCACTAAACAGTTTATTTAAACAAGCTACCACTGTGATCTAATGCATACATATGGATATTTATAAAACAATAAACTCAACAATTGTCAAACATTATTTTGAATTGTAATACTGAGTGATCTATCACAGAAACAAAGAACTGAGTATCACATGTTCTCACTCATAAATGGACCTTGAACAATTATTGTAATACTGTAAGAAAAAGATTGGCAGTTGGGGGAAACTGGCATGAGGGTGTGGGGGAGGTCTGATTGGCAGCAGTAGGAATCTGCGGGGGTGGGTGGGGGGATACCTCATCAACAAGGGTACCTGAATAATGAACATTTGTATACCTAACCTTGAATTGTACCCCACATCTTTAAAATAAAAAAATTTTTTAAAAAAAAACGAAAGTAGATTATCACTACAAACATTGGAAGAAAATATGATATAAGAAATATATCTGGTCTCCGTTCCAAGTTCCTGGCACATGGTTCTTAAGACCCTTAGTTTCCTGTGTGACAGCAGCAACTTTGTTCATACCAAGTCCCTTCTGATCATACTAAGTTTAATGAGGCGACAGGATGAACACATTGAGGTGCTGAGAGGAGGGATACTTGTGCCCAGAGAGGGTGTGGAAGATCTGCAAATCACC